AGTTCCAAAATGTGTCGAGTATGTAAACATTGACACGTGCAGAACGCTCAAGCTGTGGCTTGTCTTCCTCGTACGATATAGCAGGAGTTATAAATTCCCCACTTAACCCGAAAGCTTCTTTAAAGGAAGACAAAGTGTAAATCTACAGAAGATGGGGAAGCGAAGGAAGTAAGTTCTACGGGAAATTGGAGATTATGGGTCATTGGGGCGTATCTGTTCATCAATCTGAATGTGGCTATCACTGCTTAGTAATTTGCTAATTTTCTGGAATGCTTTTGCATATCCGATTTTGGTATAGATAGGTTTCTCTCGCTCTCTATTATCTAAATGTATCTAAATGATGCCACGGTAAATTATGGATGATTTGCAGAGAATTGGTCATTATATAGTCAAGTACATTATTACACCTGAAATTAATATTCTGACTTAACAAGTGCTTTACAGTTACCATTCCAATAGCATGAACAATTATTTCTGTGTATAGGCCACATTAACTTCAGTTCATTCTTGTTAGCTTTCATTTCATGTATTATGAATATGGACAAATAGATGAATATACTTGTGTACTTATAAGTATATGTATGAATGTATGTATATGTATATTTATACATATATATATATATATATATATATATATATAATATATATAATATATATATAGTATATTTATTTGTATTTATGTATGTATGTACTTACATATTCTATGTATATCACTATATTTTTTTTCTTTTTTCTTTCTTTTCCTTTTCTTTATGTACTGTTATAGCTTTAAAATACCCTGCAAAATTGTAATGCCTTAACTCTTCATTGCTTACGAGCTCAAACCAAGTCCCTAGTTCCTGGTGAAAAACACAGGACAGATAAGGTCACAAGATTGAAAGTTCCTGTTTTGTGTCCTGGCAAAAATGAAAACTGACGAGGCTATTTTTCATTATTTGCTATTCATTACTAATATATACACGCATTTCAAGAAGAAAATAACAGCTTTTCAAAGTCCTCAAATCATCTTCTTAATTTTGTGAGTAATCAAGACACTTTTCATTCATATTGACAAAAGAAAAGCTTTTCAGTCATCAAATCATATTTTGGGGAGAATAATGAAATTTTTTGGCGTGTTATCGGAACAGTGGACTCAAAACAGAAACTTTGATTCTCATGGCTTAATAGCTTATGTTACTGTGTTCTTACCACTCAGGTTTATATTAGTGGGCAATTGTTATGGTTGTCACAGTAAGTATAATCCTTATGATCATATTTTGCAGTTAAATTAAATCAGTTTTCATGCTGTGCTTGAGAAACTATAGAAAATTAAAAATTATAATGTTAAAATTACTTATCATGATTAATGTTCCTTGGGTCATAACTCTGCACTGTTTTACATGCCATTGGGATATACTCTGAGAAGCTTAGGAATAAAATAAAAGCATAGACAAACGACTTAACATTATTACAATATGTGTGATATGAAAGCTACAAAATCTAGGCATATGTGAGGTGCTGATGCATTTAGGGCCAAAGGTCCAGGTGCCAAGTATGTAGATCTGTGGCGGACACCACAATCACCTCAGCACCAGTGCTTCCTCACTCAGCTTAATTGCCTCCGTCACCACTGGCACAGCCTCGCTCGGCGTAGTCGCCTCACCTCACTCAGCATCGGCACATCTCACACGCCAAGTGAGGTGAGGTGACTACACTGAGTGAGGCTGCGCCAGTGTCAACAGAGGAAATTAAGCGGAGCGAAGCAGCATTGGTGCCAAGGTGATTGTGGTGTCTGCCACAGATTTCCTAGTTGATTTACTGTTAAATAAGGAACCAGTCCAAGCCCATTCCTACCAGAATGTATGATAGAATTTTCATGTCTTCTTGGAGTGCTCAGAACACAGGAGTAGTAGCATTTGCTTGACATTGACATCAAATAGAACACAGAACTGCAGGATCTTTTTCAGTACAAGTTCTATCTTGATATAATTTTGACATTGACTAAAATTCCAATGAATTTTTAGTAGTGCAAATCACTATAAATAAAGTATACTATATAGTTATGTACTTCAAGGATTGACTAAGTGTAAGATCCTTTCAATTATGATTTTTTCACTGCAAATGGCAAGTCAAAAAGTATTTCAAGATTATGAAAAATATGCCTGGTAATAGCAATGACAAGTGATCGTGGTTTCTGAACCTCCAGTGCTCCAGCAAAGATCAGTAAACATTCATTTAGCTTATTCTGGCAAGTTAGAGCTTTGACTAATACCTTATTTGACAGTATGATGTTGGGAAGGTCTACAAAAGCTGTATAATTTATAGAGACAAATATTCACATGTAGCTCCTGCCCTCTACATCCCTTTGGTTAGATCCTGTTGCTCATGGTATGTTGTAAAAAGTATAACATATGATTGATTGATATTTTCGATATTAGATGTCTGTGTCATAGGTGTCACAGATGATAAGTGTCTACAAATTTGTTAGCACTATATTTTTTACCTAGCAGCTAATAAAGTCCAATACCAAAAACTTCTGTTCCTATGATTATAAGAAGGCATTAGTAGTACCCATTAACCATACATTAGCAATGAATTGGTGCATGAGACTGTGTAAAGTAAGAATGGGCTGTCTTTCGTTTGGGTAACAGGTACCTTCCATTAGAGGTTTTTGGTGTTTGCGCACCAGACCTTTTAAATGCACACCAATTATGTATGTCACACATTTAAGTAGCACACTTGCATATGTTGTATGCTAGATCCAAGCTTATCATAATTTAATATGTAAAGATTATTTCCGATATTCACTCGAAACTCATTGCATTTCAGAATGGGAGGAGGAGGAGGAGGAAAAGGTGGCAGCAGCACCCAAAAAAGGGGGAAGGACAGGATGTTTGGTATGCAGGAACAGAATGCATATGAGAACTCCCTCATTGACCCCAGTAGCCGGGGATATGTGTACGATGAAGTGGATGACTTTGAGGATGAAAAGGACAAAAATGTTCTCGGTCTAACCAAAAGGCTCATGGCTAGAAATGAGAGGTCGAAGGTAAAGCATGTCATTGGATTTTTTGAGCAGAGATTGTAATTGTGTTCCTGTTGTGTCAAAATTACATGTTTCTTATGCCAAAATTCCAGATTTATCAGCATAGTCATGTATTAATTATAGTGTATTGGTAAATAAAAAGGACTGGGTACATGATCTCAAAATAATTTTGATATACATAATGTATATTTTGATAGAAAAAAGTAACTTGACACTAACTAATAAAGAATTGGGTTGTATAGTACAAGATGGGGGAATGTACTTCATACTAATCCCTATCCGATATAATCTAATACAAGCCTGATATCTTTACAGAAGAATTGAATATATTTTAATGAAACATAATCACGTTCCCCCCAAGGGATTGACCTCATTATTGTTCTTTATCATGCTATTAGCATTAGGCTCAAGTTATATATTCTATGTAGGAAATTACGTTTTTGTACTAAATTTTATTAGATTTAAGTTTACAAGTATAATATCAATGCTTTTGAAATAAAGGTAAGGTTTGATTCAATGTGATTCTGATTTCAATTTTCATGAACCACAAGCTGCCGGGCATGGCATGTACGTACATGCCATTGCCCATTGTGGGTGTTAAATTTAGTTATTGTTTTTACATATAGATGGCTCTACAAGTACTGTCAGCAATGAGCCAATTGCGGGAACTACCTGTCTCACCTCTCTACCCTTTTCTTTGATTTTCAATAATATTTTCTAGTATTTAATACTGCTGTTAGTAATGTCAGTAACAATATAGTAATTATAATGTCTACAACAAAAATAACAGTGTCAGTATTGATGGCTTTAGTAAAAAATAAAAAAATAAATGTTTTCCCACTTTTTCATGGAAATTAAGCATTGGCAGAGCCATCTATGTGCAAAAACATCTAACCAAGCATTGTCAAAGGGAATGCACCATTTTCCTGTCGACATTGGGATACTTAAACTTAAACCACTTTGTCTTTTTTACAGGCCTCATTTTATTGTGAATCCATAACAGTCCTGTAATAGCATACAATCTTGCAGTCAATAAAAATACATACAAGACATGATAATGGAAACTCAAATCATTTCTTTGATATTTTGACATTTATGTTGTTTTATGGTATTTTTAGATTTTGCAGCATACTAAAAAGTTATAATTCTATTATTGCCAACACAGTGTTTGGGTATAGAAAGTACATCTTTACAAATTTGCTATATTTTGAACCTTCTGCAAAAACTGTTTGCTTTTGTGACATTTAAATATTTATTTTTAACTTTGTCATTGCAAACAGGAACAAGTTCTAGGCATTGACTCAGGATCGTCAGAGGATGAGTTTGAATACAATGACACAGATGAAGAGGAAGAGGAAGGAGAGGATGATGGGGAGCAGGAAGAGGAAAATGAAAGTGAAGACGAGGATGAGCTGTACATGGATGACGACATTGAAGATGAAGATGAAGAGAGGTTGCCTGATGACAGGGCTTGGGGCAACAAAAAGTGGAGGTACATCGGCACCGACACAAGCGATGAGAGGATTCAGAGTAAGTTGAGGATTGCATCAGTCTGCAAATGCATAGAAGAATTATGAATTATAGAGAGGTTGAATAATGATGAAGTTTGTTAGATATTCCTGTGTAATGAGGTCAGTAAATGTTAATGAGTATTCTTTTTTGAAAAATATATGAGATAGGATAAAGAGCAAAGCTTATGATTTGTCTAAAGTAGTTTGAAAAAATACATGGCCTATTCTCATATCAAGTGGTTAATTTAATCACAACATAATAGGTCTTAAAAAAGGGAACAGAAGGACTGTCTATGATGAGTGTACATTTGTGTTTGAAATTTTAACCTTTTGAACCGGGATGCTTCGTATAAGGCACTAGGCTGATTTGAGCGGTCACTCTGCTGGATGTTCAGCTTGTAGGCCAGGCACACATGAACACCCATGTGCAGTTACAAGACTCCATGCCTCCCTTTTACAGTGTTATATATATATTTTTTTCTTTATAAATGTTTTTATCTTTTTTGCCATTTCCTAATGTCTACATTTGCCATTTGATTTGCTTTATCCAGATGGTAATAGACTGTTTTCCTTGCACAGTTTCCATTTCATCTCTCTAGGTAGTCCATATCTCAGTGCAATAATGATAACAATAAGTAATACTGTTATTTGTGTCATTAAAAATTAACACTCAATTATCTGTTATACAACCTGCACCGCAGGTCACAGCAGGCACGAATAGGATCCTAAGCAAGGAAATAGCATCCTCCCTTGAACTTCCGCTCTTCCAATCATGGATCCAGTACATTCTACACTCATTTATCAATAGGATTAATGCAAAAACCTCTTCCTAAATGCCAGTTGAGTCTACTCCTCACCCTTAACCCTTTACCGGGCACTCATTCAAATGCTCATATGTATGTATGTATATATATATATATATATATATATATATATATATATATATATATATATATATATATATATATATATATGTTTTTATATATTTATATATTTACGACAACACAACACACACACACACCACACACACACACACACACACACACACACACACACAACACACACACACACACACACACACACACACACACACACACACACACACACACACACACACACACATACATACATATACATATATATATATACTTGAGAGATCTTATATGGTCACATGCTTTGTGTACTTGTGGCAAATTGTGCCCTTCATCCTAGCCTTCAGCTGAAATTCTCATAATGACAAGCTACCGTCATTCCAGTGCACGGCCAGATATTCCCATGATAGCATGTTTACATCACCTGCCCCTCAAGCCAAAAAAAAATCACTATGTCATGACCAATGATCTGGACCACATGAGGTTATACACATTACATACATTTGAATTATCCCAGAAAAAAAAATGCCCACATAAATGGACTTTTAAAAATGGCATCAATCTTTCAGGGAAGCTGTACAGGCAGGATGAAGAGCTGGCTAAGCTAGAGGAAGAGACAGCAAGGAAGTTGCAGGATCGCATGGCTGCTGAGCTGGAAGACCTGAAGGCTGAGGATCTCATTCCACAGGTAAGAAGATACCCAAGTAGAGGAGCATAGGTTATATCTATAGATTAAATGAGATAACATCAGAAGAAACAAATAGATGTATGTATGTATGTATGTATACGTACATATATACATGTAACTAGTAGATATGTCAATAGGGAAACAATTACATATATTATATGCATATAGATTGAGATACACGTGCATTTATTAAATGATGGCTAGATACAGTTTTATTATACCTTTCTTCTCTATCTCAACCGCAGGAAGAGGACAAGGGAGAGGATGACAAAAGCACACAGGTGAGAGTGGAGACAGATATCTCAGGGCTCTCAAAGGCTAAGAAGATGCAGCTGTTGAAGAGAGAGTCTCCTGAATTCCTTCCCCTTATGGAGGACATGAAAAGTGAGCTTTGAGGAACTTTTCAGTTTTTGAGTGGCTTACCTTTTCTTTTTATTTGAATACTAAAAAGTTGTTTTGTTATTTGAACAAAAAAAACACTTGAAAATATAGTTGTTTTACCCTGCTTTTTCCAGCAAACCATTTATAATTACCTTTCCTTTTTTCTCTCAGGCAAATGCAATGAAATTCAGACTTTCCTCCGACCACTGATGAAGGGCATCCAGACTGGCCAGGTACCTAATGGTCCTGCCCGACAGTATATTGTCACTAAGTATCGACTTCTGCTCAAGTGAGTAATTTGTTTGCTTGCTTTTTCCTCTCATCTTTTCCCTCTATTTCTCCTTGTTTTCCCTTCCTCCTCTTCTTCCTTCCCCTCCTTATTTGCATAACAACCATTTGCTGCCTATACCACAGGATTACGACTTTGTTAGAAAGAGGCATAGCAGGCCTTAAATGGGTTAATGTGTATATACAAATCATGTTGGTATTGGCATAACAAGGCAAGTATCTGCTTTAAGTGTATCTCACCATTAATGAAAAATAGAGATTCAAATTTTTATTTGTTTTAGAAGTTATTAGCAACTGATAAGATTCAGAGAATTTTGCCTCTCTGTTACCTGCTCTATGGTTACTATTTATATCAGATGAGGTATTTGTAACTTTTTCCCCTTAAGATATGTTAATGTACCTTTCTATCTTACAGTAAGAATCTCAATAGAATATATATATATTTATTTATTTTTTACTTTGGATGATAGACATTAGATAATATGGTGATGAATGCAATGGATATTGTATTCATCACCAGTAATTTCAAATTACTACTAGACATTAAAGTCAGTAGCTGCCAAATATGATTACAGGTTCATTATTGATTTACAATTTGAAGTTATGATAAAAGTTGCTTGGGAAATATAATGTGTTAAGAGGAACAATAATCTCTATCAACTAATGTGATCTGTATTGTTCCTCTTTCCCAGTTATCTCTCAGTACTCAGTGTATACATGATGGTAAAGAGCAGTCAAAGTTCCGTCAGCAAGCACCCAGTTGTCGGACGGCTAGCACAGTATAGACAGCTGCTTCAGGTACTGGAGACGCTTAATGTTTGTTACTTGATATTTCCTTAGATTTTCCTTACATTGCATACATTATTTCATATGGGATCTAAGTGTCTCCTTTTCTGACACTGTAAATCTTTCTTTATCATTTCAGGAACTGGAGCAGTGTGACGAGAAGTTGACCCCCAAGCTGGAGAAGCTGCTCAAGGCAATCAAGGAAGGACATGCACCTAAAGTTGCCTCGTCCTTGAATGAAACAAAGAAACCCATGTAAGTGTTCTCCCTCTCCCCCTCCCTCCCCTCCCTCTCTCTCTCTCTCTCTCTCTCTCTCTCTCTCTCTCTCTCTCTCTCTCTCTCTCTCTCTCTCTCTTCTCTCTCTCTCTCTCTCTCCTCTCTCTCTCTCTCTCTCTCTCTCTCCCTCTCCCTCTCCTATCCCTATCCTCCCTATCCCTCTCCTCTCCCTCCCTCTCCCTCTCCCTCTCCCTCTCTCCTCTCCCTCTCCCTCCTGTCTCTCTGTCTGTCTGTCTCTCTCTCTCTCTCTCTCTCTCTCTCTCTCTCTCTCTCTCTCTCTCTCCTCTTCTCTCTCTCTCTCTCTCTCTCTCTCTCTCTCTCTCTCTCTCTCTCTCTCTCTTCTCTCTCTTCCTCTCTCTCTCNAAAGGGGGAGGTTAGAGGAAAGGGAGGGGTGAGAACGAATGGTAAATAGTGGGGAGCGAGCGGAGTAGGGGAAAGAGTAATGGGGAGAATGGATAAAGAAAAGGAGAAAGAGAAAAGAAACTGACGTAAAAGGAAGAGAAATAAGATTATCGGGGAATAGAGGTAGGGAAGGAGTAGTGGGGGTAGGGGGGGAGGAGTAGTAGTGGGGGAGGGGGGGAGGAGGAGTGGAGAGCGGAGAGGAAGTTCAGGAACAGAAAAATTGAGGTGGGTCAAGGGAGGGTCAAATGGGTGGGGTGGGGGGGGGTGGGGGGTAACGGGGTCTGTGGCACACTTCCCCTCGCAGTGCCGACCGCTCCGCTCCGACAAGGGGGAAAAGAAGAGCCCCATTTCAACACCGACAGAATAGGAAAGATTTTAGTCACTTACTTCAAAATGACAAGGGAGGCGTTGGCTCTACGTGCAGCCATCTAGATTCGGGTGGTTTGGCTGCGTCGGAGGGAACTTTGAGAACCAGAAATGTAGCTTCTTTCCTCGAATTTTCTTTTCTTTGTGGACGTTTGTGTGTGTGTTTGCACGTGTGTGTGTGTGTGTGTGTGTGTGTGTGTGTGTGTGCCAGAAATGTAGCTTCTTTTATCTGTCTCTTTTCCTCGAATTTTCTTTTCTTTGTGGACGTTGTGTGTGTGTTTGTGTGTGTGTGGTGTGTGTGTTTGTATGTTTGTGTGTGTGTGTGTGTGTGTGTGTTGTTTGTGTGTGTGTGTGTGTGTGTGTGTTGTGTATGTGTGTGTGTGTGTGTGTTGTGTTGTGTGTGTGCCGTGTGTTGTAGTGTGTGTGTGTGTTTATACAGTAATGGGCATCGGTACACAAAATTGTCTAAGGCGATACCGATGTTTGAAAACTGTTTAAGTGATTTCGATACCAATTTCTTCTCCTCCATCTCCACCATTCCACAATTACTCTCATCCTTCTCCTCCAACATTCCGTCATTACTCTCCTTCTCCTTCTCTACCGTTACTCTCCTATTCCTTCTACATCATTATTTCTCTTCCTTCTCCACCGGTCCACCATTACTCTCCTCCTCTTTCTCCACCATTACTCTTCTCCTTCTCTACCATTATTCGCCTCCTCTTTCTCCACCACCTCTCTCCTTCTCCTTCTCTACTATTACTCCTTTTCCACCATTACTCTCCTCCTCCTTCTCTGCTATTACTCCTTCTCCACCATCATTCTCTTCCTCCACCATTACTCTCCTCCTTCTCCCTCTTTCCATCATTACTGTAAAGATTTATGTGAATTGCATGTGAGGCTTGACTTTGGTTTTGATGATTCGGAATAAATTCATCAATATTTACAAACATAAAATATTTAAAGGAAATGAACTTGTTTTACACTCGCTCTCCCTCAACTGTAAAGGACATGAGAGAGGAGGAGGCGGAGCGAGGAGGAGCAGGGGAGAGGTCCGAGGGAGAAGGGGGAGTGGGAGGGGCAAGGGATAGGGGGAGGGGAGGGAAGAGAGAAGGGCGGTATACCGTGACCTGTCACCTGTAAACAAGGTGGTCGATTTTTTTATTTTATTATTTTTTTTTTTCACTCTTCTTGCTTTAGTAGTATATTGCAGTATAGTGTTTTTTTTCTCTCTCTTTTTCTTTCTTTTTTATGTTAGCTTTTCCTCTTATTCTTACTATATTGTGCCGGTGATGCAATAGTACCTGTTTTGATTTTACGTATTATATACAACCTTTATATAGTATATGTGATATCTGAAGATCAACGGCCGGTTTGTTAGTGCGAGGCCCGACCCAAAGAATATTCGTATACTTGACATGCATAAATAAAGAAATAAATGCATATTCATCAGTCTAGACGTGCATATCAACCCGGCAAATAGATGGTTAAATGTATATCTAGCAGATATATTAACAGATATGCCTTTATTTCTACATCTGTATTTACGAAAATTGATTGGGTCGGGCCGGGCACGATTTTAACAAACTGGCTGTAAATATTACTCCATACCTCTCATATGTCTATCTATCTATCTATCTATCTATCTATCTACCTACTATCTATCTATCTGTCCTATCTAAGAAGTGCATCTAAGTGGAGATCTTAGAGAGGGAGAGAGAAGAGCGAACGAGGATGAGTGAAGTGAGAAAGAGAGCGGAGAGGCGAGCGAGCGACAAGAAGAGAGAGAGAGAAGAGAGAGAGAGAGAGAGAGAAAGAGAGAGAGAGAGAGAGAGAGAGAGAGAGAGAGAGAGAGAGAGAGAGAGAGAGAGAGAGAAAAAAAAAGAGAGAGAGAGAGAGAGAGAGAGAGAGACGGGCTGACATACAGACAGAGATTCAGACAGACAGACAGAAAGAGAAAGACAGACAGGAAAAGAAAGAGAAAGAGAAGGAAAAAAATACACGCACCAACCCGCAATATCACCCTTGCCTTTCCCTCATCACAGGTTACGTCATCGTCATCGTCGTCGTCATCACTCACAGAAACCCAATACTCAACGAGGAACTCACTCGACCTTCTCGAAGGGCGTGAGTGAGTAGGTGAATGAGGAGTGAGTGAGTGCGAGTGAGTCGGTGAGTGAGCGAACGAGCGAGCGAGAAAGTTAATGAACGAGCGAGCGAGAGAGTGAATGAGTGAGCGAATGAATGAATGAATAAGTAAGCGAACGACTGAGTAAATGAGCGAGTAAGCGAGCTAGCGAGTGAATGAGCGAGGCGAGCGAGAAAGTTAATGAATGAATGAATGAAATGAAAGAATGAGTAAGCGAACGAGTAAATGAGCGAGTGAAATGAGCGAGCGAGCGAGAAAGTTAACAAATGAATGAATGAAAGAGTGAATGAGTAAGCGAACGAGTGAGTAAATGAGCGAGCGAACAAGTACCTGACTGACTGAGTGAGTAAACCGGTCACTCATGGATGATTCACGACATATATTTTCCTGTTGAGTAAATCAAACCTTGTCTAGGATTCACTGATGCTTCTTCTTTTCCTTCTCTCGGGCTGGTGGTGGAGGGGGGAGGGAGGGGGAGGGAGGAGGGGATGCTGGGGGAAGGGGGAAGGGAGAGTGGCTATGGGGAGGGGGGGGAGGGAGGGGATTACTGGGGAAGGGGGAAGGGAGAGTGGCTATGGGGAAGGGGGGGAGGAGGAGGGGAAAGAGGGAGGGGAAGGAGAGTCGCTATGGGGGAGGGGGGAGGGAGGAGGGGATGCTGGGGGAGGGGGGGAGGGGAGAGTGACTATAGGGAAGGGGAGGAGGAGTGGAGGGAGAGGTGCGAGTGAGATTGGGGGAGCTGGAGAGACAGGAGTCAGGGGGAGAGGGAGGGGAGAGGGGCTAGGGTGAGGGAGAAGGGGGTGAAGGGGTAGGGTAGGGGGGGGGGTTGGTCACGAGACAAGGGCGGGGCGAGGCAATTGGGCGGTCTTAGGCTCGGAGGCTGATGTCACGGGCGTGCAATTGCGTTCCTGCTCTTGTTGCCGTCGCATTCCTCGTCTTTGCTTGTTTTCTTGTTTGTCTGGGCGTTGGTTTTCTTGTTTGTTTTCATGTTTTTTTTCTTGTGTTCTGGTTTGTTTTGGCGTTTGTTTCCTTGTTTGGTTTCTTACTTGTTTTCTTATTTCTGTCTTCTTGTTTATTTTCTTGCTTGTTTTCTTACTTGTTTTCTTATTTCTGTCTTCTTGTTTATTTTCTTGCTTGTGTCCTTGTTTGTTTTCTTGTATATATATATATATATATATATATATATATATATATATATATATATATATATATTATATATATACATACATACATACATACATACATACATACATACATACATACATACATACATATATATGTTTCGAAAATATTATTCACATGAGACTTAAATGTGTCATCATGTATTATGAGAAAAAAAAAAAAAAAATAAGAACAAAAGTATAAAAATCTGATTCACATTTCCAAGATCAACAATCATTTCAATGCATTAAAAAAATACAATTAAAAGATAATTCGAAATTCACATTAGTTGCTTTTTTTTTTACCAAGATAATGAAAGGGAAATGTCCTTTATTCACGAACTGGCAACTGCATGCAACATATGTCCCTGAGTTGCGCCGAAATAATGATCAGCTCTTTGGTGTTTTGTCTGTCTTGCGAATATCTTGATAATCCGTAAAAGGAATGAAGGAGGAGAAGGAGAAAATGAGGGAGACGGAGACGGAGAAGAAGGAGGTGGAGAAGATGATATAGGAGAAGAGAGAAGGAGAAGGAGATGGAGAAAGAGGAGAAGAAGGAGAAGGGAGAAGGAGATGGAGAAGAAGGAGAAGGAAGAAGGAGGAAGGGAGGAGATGGAGAAAGAAGAAGAAGGAGAGAAGGAAGATGGTGAAGAAGGAGGAGATGGAGAAGAAGGAGAAGGAGAGGAGAAGGAGAAGGAGAATGGAGAAGGAGAAGGAGATGGAGAAGAAGAGAGAAGGAGATGGAGAAGAAGGAGAAGGAGAAGGGAGAAGGAGATGGAGAAGAAGGAGATGGAGAAAAGGGATGGAGAAAGAAGAGAAGGAGATGGAGGAGAAGGAAGGAAGAAGGAGATGGAGAAGAAGGAGAAGGAAAGGAGATGGAGAAGGAGAGAGAGGAGAAGGGAAGGAGA